CATAATATACCTAGTCATTTCACCTATCTGTCCTCTGTAAAAAAAGTCATATGGCTCACAGTGGGTTCCAGTGGACCGTTATAGTTAACAGAGCAGTGTTCCTGCCTAATTACAGTTTCTGTGCTTAGATATGAATTTTATTGGAGTAAATCAAGTCAACCTCTGGCACATCATTTGAGGTTATTACTTTGCTGAATGCTTTATTCCTGGTTTTCATCAACAGACAGTACCAAGAGCAGTTCGCCTTTATATTGCAAGGAGGGCAGTAAATCTTCACTCTCTTGCCCGAGGCCTGTGCTAATTTTCCTGCTGTCTGTCATGCTCTATTCTGGAGTGATATCAATCATCTTGATATTCCACAGTGCATCATGCTAGCCTCCTATACTGACTGACATTTTACTAATGGGACCTAATAAGGGGAATGGGCCAAGTAATTCGAGAGCTCTAATAAATACATAGAATGTCAGAGGGTAGATGGTGAGTCCTGGACGATTAAGGAGCCTGAAACATGAGTGAAATTTTTAGGGGCCCAGTGTTCTGCAACATTAAGGGCACACCTCTGAAGTAAAGCCTGAGAACCTGACTGTGGCACATTAAGAAACCGTGCAACTGGAGCTGCCTGTCATGAGCTGGGTATTAACAGAAACTCCCAGGAAAAGACTGAGGCATAGAAACGAACTATTGTATTAAGGAAATGGTACATTTAAGAAAAGGCTCAAGTAGTCCAGAAGATGTAAAAAATATAACTTTTGGCTTATACCTGTGTCACCTGCCCTTTTGCACAGGTGCCACTCCCTCAGGTCACATCTATGGCCTCATGGGAAATTCCCTATAATCAACTGGTGGAGAAGGGAAAATCTTGAACCTAATTAAGACAGTTGCAATGATGTATTGGGGCTCTATAGAAATTAATCACTGTCACAATACAGCCCCTCTCAGGAGTGACTGAAAACATAGGCATAGCCACAGGAGGTTCTCGACAACCAGGTAGATAGGATGACCTATTTTTGGGTGTCAACCAGCTCCTCTTTGGTCATCCCACTGCTTGCACAGTGGGCCAATGAACAAAGTGGCCATGGTGGAGGCTCAGATCCTGTACATGGATCCAAAAACAGGGGCTCCAGAAACCAAGGGGAAGGACTAGGCTCAGCCTCCTCCTCATCACTCTCAATGACCCAGTTGCAGAATTTGTATTTTCTGTCCCTACAACCTTTTATCTGCCAAGTTGGAGATTCTGATTCCCAGGAGAGCCTGTTTCCTAGAAAGCATGTTAAGTATTTTACTGAAATGGAATTGAACTATTTTGAACTTAGCATGCCAGTGGATAAGCAAGAAAACATTACTATACTGACCAGTTTAATTGACCCTGATTAACATGAGAAGCTAGGGTGGCTGCTACACAATAGGGACAAATACGAGTACCTCTGGATGGCAGGACGCACCGAGGCTCCTCCTGGTGACTCTGTGCCCAGTGAGAGTTGTATATGGACACTCACAGCAATTATTGCCTGACAAAGGAAAAGAAACAAGGGCCCATGCATCCCAGGGATGAGGGACTGTGTCAACATGTTAGGCAAGCAACCTAGAGAGGCTGAAGTGCTAATAAAGGTGAGAGAAACTAGAAAGCGTGAAGGACCAGGGAGTTGATCAGTATCAGCTATGACCCTGGGTCCAGCTGCAGCAGTGAGAACTATCCATTGGTTTCTAATCCTCTAGATCTTAGGGGGCTGAAACTGACTACTACTTGGAAGGTTCGGCCTTCCACCTCCTTCCTTAAGAAGCAGAGAAAGCACCTTATTCTCATACAAGATCTAAGATATTATAACAGGATGCAAGTGAATCTGATTGGTGCAGGGACACAGTATAGGAAATGCAGTTCACACATCACCCTAGATCCACCACTCCCTGTCTACCCCCCATTCCACCCAGGCAGCAACCATCTGCAATGCTTCTAGTGATTTGAAATATCCCCATAGTGTTTAAGTCCCAGCTACGGCCACTGTACACTGAAGGTCCCCACATTTAGCCCCAAATGACATGGAAAGACTGCTGTACTGCAGGACAGAGGCTCTGGCTGCCCCAGGGGCCACATACCATAACCTGGACATACAGGAATTTAATGCCTTCTAGGGGGGACTTCACCACTGAAAATAAAGTAGGTGGGAAGGATGCCAGGAAATACATTTCTCACCCTTCCTTCTCTACAATGGACTGCTCTCAGATGTGGTGTTTCCATATGGCTTCTCTGGAGTCATCCTGCAAATCTCAGCATCTGGCTGACTGTGTTGTGAAGATGTGGCCATCTCATTAGCTCATCCTCTTGAATTTTCTTTCCTTTTTCGGCCTCAATTCCCTTTTACTCTCATTCTTTCTTCCCTAGGAATGTACCCACCCCACCCTCCAATACAATTGTTAGCACGTTAGATTTTCCTGTAATACTGATCAAAAAGTCAGCTATTTTGTTTGTTTTTTTAAAAAGTGGATGATTCAGGATTATTTCCAGTCTGACATGTATGGAGCTTAGAAGTCACCATTCCATCCCAACAACAATTATAAAGCTGAACAAAATGGGAAATCAACAGCTCTTTTTAGATCTGTCACAGAAGTAAGGTCATAGGGCAAACTGCTGCTCCCAAAATTGGAGAGAATTTTTAGATTTGAATACAGAAAATCACAACTTACAGAGCAGACACCCAGGAAAAGACACCTCCACAGGGCCAGAGTAAGAAAACCTGAACTGTAGTGGATGAATTACTGGAGGCTCAGTGTGGACAATCAGAGTTAAGAACCCAGTCATAGGGGCCCCTACACATTTGTGAGTTTTACCTCCAGGAGCTCTGCCAGGTCCTCACAGTAAATATGGAGGAAAAATGGAAGGAAAAAAGGAACCATGTTGAAATACCCCAGAGCATTCGATTCTTAACAAGCCCTGGTACCTATTTGTATACAGTAACTATTTGATAAATCGATAAATAAGAGAACTTAGGCAAAATGTGAGAAACAAATGAGAATTTGTCGTCTCAGTTTGTTGTGTGTGTGCAAAGAGGAAAAGGCACAGAATCCTGTCCCAGGCCTTGAGCTAGGGAAAGAGCACAGGGCATAATTGCTGCCCTCAGAGAAGCCAAAGTCCAGGGGAGGAGGCAGACATGTGAACAGACTGCTACAATGGAGTGGAATTAGAGCCCCCAAATGGAACTGAGTAATTCTAGATGGGTTGGGTACAACCAGGGAAGAGAAGATGACAGTCAGAGAAGGCTCTCTAGAGAAAAGGGCCTTCCAGGATACATCTTGGAAAACACAGTGGGCAAAAAAAAGGAAAGGGCACTCTAAGGCAGAGGGGACCAGGCTGTAGAAACAGACAAGGGCACCAAGTCAGAGATGACCTAGTATGCAACACTATGGAAACTTATTCCATAAGTATGGGGATCCACTCAAGGCTTTTCAGCGGGAAAGGTGGCTTGATCAGATTTACGTTAAGGAGCTTTACTCTCTCCTCTGTGGATATTGCTGCTGCTATAGGCCACTCTCCTAGCCACCTGCCACCCCTCAGGCTTGGAGTATTCCATCCAGTCTCTAAGAAAGGCATCAAATGAGAAACTTTGAAACTCCACAAGCTTGCTCTAGTCAGACTTGGCAGAGACTGGGGGCTTCCTGGACTCTCTAGCCCTCAAAAGAAAAAGAATAGAAAGCCTGTTGATATTTGCTTGAGATCTCACCTGTCGTGTGATTCCCTTGTGACTGTGTGAGTTCCTGATCCATTCTACTAAACAGTGAGAGAAACCATGGTTCAGAGTCTAATCTGAGCACTGAAAGTTTGAAGTAAAATTGAAGATTTATTGTCCCCTCTTCCTTATTAGGCAATCTCCAAATAGTAATTATAAAGTCGCTTTCTCTTCCTATGTCCTTTTAGTAGAAGAAGAATGCACGTATGGACAACAGACACACATAGGCACCAGGGGGTTGGTCCAGTAACCCATCACTTGGCACCAAACGCTTATGTTACCACTAGGTCACTTTGAGACAGGGCTGACATCCAAATGTAAACTCCTGGATTTCTTTAAGAATACAGGTTCTGCCAAATTACAAAAGGCAGGCAGCTAAATTCTATCCCTTTGGAGATGAATTTCAACAAATTTACATCATGTCAATTTCTTTTAAGACAAGTATACTTTAAAAAGAAACTGAAATCTAAGGATCAAACTTTGTGGGTTCAGAACTCCCAAGAAGACAAAAACATCTCAGGTTCACTAAGGGGGTGAAAATGGGTAACTCTCCCTTTCACCATTACATTCCTACCCGAACCAGCATCCCAGTGCTCATCCAAAGAAAGGAAGACCCTCAGCACTGTGGGGAAGTTTAGAATTGGGGACTGAGGGTGGCCAGGGTCTGATTGCTTTCCTCCCCACTCTTCTCTCACACAACAAAGCTTCAGATCATCTGATCTGCCAAACACAGCATCTTGCATGACTTTCCCTGAACCCCTCCCCCCGGGGCAAGATTTGGGAAGGAATATTTTTAAGTTGGCAATACCAACACCAAATGCAAAAAAACTCATTATATTTGATTTCTTTTCAAGTCACCTTACAAATAAGGTCTTTAAAGCATCAGGAAAACACTCAAAGACATAAATTGCTGCTTATAACCGTCCCCTGTAGAACTTATACCTTCTGCTACAAAGAGATGAAAAGGAAAGTATTTCCAAATGCTCTGAGTTCTTTACTCAACAGTCATCATATGAACTTTAATTGAAAAAAAGGTCACCGAGTGTTTAAAAATCTGCTTTAATTATATTTTCATGAATTCCAAGAACATCATTGCGGTTAATGTTACAAAAAAGCAAAGAGGGACATCTGAACATGCAATAAAAAAAAAAATGGATTCACAGTGAAAAGAATGTATGTTGGTACTAAAATATATAGTTACTTGGATCCCTGAAGGAAAAAGGTTTCATCTAATTATCTATTCACTTGGATTTTATTATGATAAAGTTTTTTTTTCCCTCAAAAGCTTTGGGCGAAGTTTTCATTTCTGCTACTATTGTTAGGGTCTGGAAAGCCCTCATTTTGAAAGCCATTATTTGCAGTCTATAATTTAATCAGAAAATTAGAAAGAAAAGTACAACAGCTTGGCAACTGTGTTCTTGTTACATACAAAGCCATTAGCAAAAATATGTAATAAAATGTATGTAAAACAAACAATTGTGTCCCTATATACATAAGTTTTCTTTGTTCCTCTCACCCTCGCAGCCTGCTGTAAAATGAGAGGGTCTGGGGGGAGCAGCTACCAATCTCCTTTGAACTCTTATGCTGGTTGGGGGGGAGAGATCGTAAAAGGTAAGGTAACTTTTAATCATCTTTTAACTGAGTTATAAAAACGCATCTGGGCTTCTCAACAAAGAAGGAAACACAGGATCGATGATAATGGCTTTAAAATAAAGAATTCATCCCTTTGTCCTTTGCAAAGTCTCTTAGGTCAAGTCAAAGAGTAACAATGACCACATTTGTGACTGTGACGTGAGGTGAAACATACAAACACTGTAACAAGCTGCTGAGAAGGTTCGCGTCTAGCGCATGCACATATTTCATACCGATAGAGTTTACGCCAAGGGGGAGAGGTCCGAGGTACGTGGGAAATGCCACCCAACTCTATATTATAAATGCATGAACAGCAAGGACCCATGGAGTCAAAGGGAGACCAAGATACAAGTTTAAAAATACATTTTAAAATGATTTCAAAGCTAAGGACTATTTACTGAAAACTCTGACAATTCTACAGGACACCTTGTAAACACTGAAAATGCAGCTTTACGTCATTCACAGTCTCAAAAGAAAATAAATCTCCGGTTTATCGTCGCTGCCGGGCTCCGTCTGCAGCGCCGAGCGGTGGGAGCCGAGCGGGTCGGCGGCACCCGCGCGCAGCGC